ACTAGAACGGCGCTTCTAGCGGATGATCTTCGAAAAATTGCAACTAGTGATATGGCCACTGGTGGTAACAAAGAACAAGCGCAGGGACTGTTTGCCAGAGGAAGAGGCAATGAGCGAGGAAAAGGCAAGGGAGGAAAGTCTAGATCTAAATCGAGACCCCTTGCGGGACGAGCGTGCTTCAAATGCGGTGAAGTTGGGCATTTCAAGGTTGACTGTCCTAACAAGAGAGTAGGTGGGAAAAAGAACAACAACAAGACCGAGAGAAGAGAAGGCAAGGAAGAGGCGAGTTACGCATCGGAGGAAGGGAGCGATAAAGAATGCTATGTTGTTACGGGTGGCGAAGATACCTCCGGTAAGTGGATACTTGATTCAGGTTGCTCTTACCACATGTGCCCAAATAGGAAGTGGTTTACTACCTATAGGAGCATTGATGGTGGAACTGTATTGCTGGGGAATAACCATGCTTGTAAAACGGTGGGGCTCGGTGATATAAAAATCAAGATGCATGATGGAGTGGTCAGAACCCTAACGGACGTACAGCACGTTCCTGATTTGCGGAAGAATCTTATCTCAGTGGGTGCATTGGACTCTGGTGGCTGCAAGATTGTTACAGAGAACGGAGTAAAGAAGGTTGTTCGAGGTTCCCTAACAGTGATGAAGGGTGTTCGTCACGGTAATCTATATACTCTCTCGGGTACGACGGTGACAGGAGATGCAGCGGTTGGAACTGATGGAAGTGGTGGAGACCCATGTGAGCACACCCGGTTATGGCATAGGCGGCTTGGGCACATGTCAGAGAAGGGTCTGGTTCTGCTTGGTAAGGAGGGTTTGCTGAAGAATCTGAAGAAACCTTGCATGGATTTTTGTGAGGATTGTGTGTATGGAAAGGTGCACATGGTCCAATTCTTGAAAAGCAATCACAAGAGCAGAGGTATACTAGATTATGTGCACACGGATGTTTGGGGTCCGGCTCAGACAACTTCCAAGGATGGTTCCAGGTATTTTGTCTCGTTCATAGACGATTATTCTAGGTATGCTTGGATTTATTTTCTTAAGCATAAGAATGAGGTATTCGAGACATTCAAGAAGTGAAAAGCAATGGTTGAGAACAGGACAGGCAAGAAATTGAAGACACTGAGATCTGACAACGGTACAGAGTATACAGATGGTGTTTTCAAGAAGTTCTGTGATCAAGAGGGCATTGTTCGACACTGGACAGTCAGGTCAACACCACAGCAGAACGGGGTCGCGGAGAGACTGAACCGAACATTGCGGGAGAAGGCAATGAGTATGCGATCTTATGCTGGATTGGGCAACGAATGGTGGGCAGAAGCGGTAGGGCCAAGAAGGTAATTTTCTTGGGGTATGCAAAGGGCGTAAAAGGCTACCACCTTTGGTGTACAGAAGATTCAAAGTTCGTGATCAGCAGGGACGTTACATTTGATGAGAAGTCCATGATTGCTAGGGTGCCCAAAGATGGTGGTGTTGATACTGTTGGGACTCCCGAGTCCCAGGTTATTAAGATAGAACCTAAAGACCAACCAGGTTCTAGTCGTGTTCAAGTGGAAAGTCAGGTAGATGATGAACTTGAGCAGGAGGAGGTTCAGTAGGAGAATACACAGGTACTACAACAACAACAACAGCTCGAGGATAGCTTGGCTTCCACTAAAGTCCCAGGTTATTGAGATAGAACCTAAAGACCAACCAGGTTCTAGTCATGTTCAAGCGAAAAATCAGGTAGATGATGAGCTTGAGCAAGAGGAGGGTCAACAGGAGAATACACAGGCACTACAACAACAGCAGCTCGAGGATACTTTGGCTTCCACTAGGCCAAAGCGAGCATACAAGCAGGTACAGAAGCTGGGGGCTGATCAACCCCTGAAGCACTATGGGCAGGTTAATTTGGTGGAATACGCACTCTTGGTGGAGGAAGATGAGCCGGTCTCCTTCAAGGAAGCTATTCGAGACAAGGATAGTGAGAGTTGGTTGGCTGCGATGGAGGAGGAGATGGAATCTCTTCGGAAGAACCAAACATGGGAGGTGGTCCCATTGCCCGTAGGAAAGAAAGCTATAGGTTGTAAGTGGCTGTATAAAAGAAAGGAAGATCCTTCAGAGCTCGGTGGAACGAGGTACAAGGCCAGGCTAGTGGCTAAGGGGTTTGCACAAAGAGAGGGTGTGGATTACAATGAGATATTTTCTCCGGTGGTGAAACACACTTCTATTCGGGTGCTATTGAGTATTGTTACTCATGGTGATCTTGAACTGGAACAACTCGATGTTAAAACGGCCTTCTTGCACGGAGACTTGGATGAAGAGATCTATATGCATCAACCTGAGGGATACAAGGTTGAGGATAAGGATAATCATGTTTGTCGCTTGAGGAAATCACTATATGGATTGAAGCAATCTCTACGGCAGTGGTACAAGCGATTTGACTCCTTCATGCTAAAACATGGGTTTTCCCAAAACGACTATGATTGTTGTGTCTACATTCGGAAGCTTCGTAGAGGTGATTATATCTATCTCCTGTTGTATGTGGATGACATGCTTATTGCATCAAAGAATAAGGTGGAGATAGATAAGCTGAAATCTCAACTTAGCAAAGAGTTCGACATGAAGGACATAGGCGCTGCTAGAAAAATACTGGGTATGGAGATTAGAAGAGAGCGGGCGAATCAACGATTGTTCTTGAGTCAGAAGGGCTACATAGAGCGGGTGATCGCGAGGTTCGGGATGCAAAGTGCAAAGTCGGTGGTGACCCCATTGGCTCCACATTTTAGGCTTTCAGGTAAACAATCTCCCACTACAACGGAAGATAAGGTACACATGGATCGTGTCCCTTATGCTAGTGCAGTTGGCAGCTTAATGTACGCAATGGTGTGTACACGTCCTGATATTTCACAAGCGGTTAGTGTGGTCAGCAGATTCATGGCGAATCCGGGAAAGGCACACTGGGAAGCGGAGAAATGGGTCCTGAGGTACTTGAAAGGTACCGCGGATACGGGTCTATGTTTTGGTAGAGATACATGTCAGGTCGATGGGTATGTGGACTCAGATTATGCGGGCGATCTAGATAGACGGCGATCTACTACTGGTTATGTATTCAGGATACATGGAGCTCCAGTTAGTTGGCGATCGATGTTGCAGGCTACAGTGGCACTTTCTACAATAGAGGCCGAGTACATGGCCATGGCGGAGGGAGTGAAGGAAGCATTGTGGCTGTGGGGTCTTCTAGACGATTTGGGGATTAAGCAGGAAAGCGTGAACTTGTGGTGCGATAGTCAAAGTACGATTCACTTGGCGAAGAATCAAGTTCATCATGCTCGTACCAAGCATATCGACGTCATATATCATTTTGTGCGGGATGTCATAGAGGAAGGTGATATTTCTCTCATGAAGGTGCATACGAATGTCATATATCATTTTGTGCGGGATGTCATAGAGGAAGGTGATATTTCTCTCATGAAGGTGCATACGAATAAGAATCCCGCGGACATGTTAACTAAGGTGGTCACAGGTAGCAAGTTTAAGCATTGCTTGGACTTGCTTAATATTAGCCCGTGTTGATATGCCCAAGAGGGCATGGCCCTTCGGGGCGGTGATGGAGGTGTGATGGAGACTGTATTGGATAATAGTTTCAGAACTACGGTTAGCTTGATCCCGGTGGAGGGTACGTAGGCAGTCGCGTTATAGTGACGCAGCTGGTTTTTGGCCTGGTTTTGGCCTGGATCTCTCTAGTTAAGTTTGTGGGGGTTCTTCTGGTGTTCGTCCAAAATTTGAGGATTATCAAATGATGTACGAGGTGGAGAATTGTGATCGTGGGGGGACTCACTCACGTGCCCTTGAGCGCGGGAGTCTTTTTCCCGCTGCCAGCTCTCGAGCGCGGGAGTTTTCCCACTGCCAGCTCTCGAGCGCGGGGTTTTTTTTTCCGCGCGTTTTTTTTTCTTTCTCCCATCCCATTCAGCCCGCCAACTTCGGTTCCCCCTCTTCTTTGGTTTCGCGCGTTTTTTTTTCTTTCTCCCATCCCATTCAGCCCGCCAACTTCGGTTCCCCCTCTTCTTTGGTTTCCTATAAATAGAGAAGGGGTGAAGGAGTTAGAGGGTGGGGAAAATATTAAGTGGGGTAAAAATCTCAAGAGGAGTTTTTTTGAGAGAAAAGAAAGAGAGGAAGAGAGAACTTGTAAAGTTTGGTATTTTTTCTCATAGTGAAAACCCCCCTCCCGTAGACGTAGGCTAGTTAGCCGAACCACATAAATCTCGTGTTTGTATTATCTGTGAGTTGCCATAGCTTGTAGGTTCCCTCGATATTTCAGTCCTAGAACTGATGAGAGGAAGAGTGTATATTTCACTTTGATGAAATATATCACTTTCGATTCTTGTTTCCTTTGAGAAATAAGAATTTCACTATCTATTCTAGTTTCCTTTGAGAAACAAGAATATAGAGGTTGACTTGTGCTTTTGTGACAACAATAGCCAGGGCTCTCTCTCAGGTGATATCGCTTCCGCGGCGGTGAGCGTGATTCTCCGGCCCAACATGGTTCAACTGCAGGTACTGCTCAGAGGGAATACTCTCCGTACCATGATTCCATACTATAGCCTTAAACATGCATAAGGCGTCTTTCTATAAGATGCTCGATTAAAACATATTCTGAACATTTTGGTCACTCAGACAATCTTGCAACCAACCTAAATAGTTGACAGCCTAAGAGACACCTCTACTGAGAAATTCAAGAAATTCACATGGAAGAAAACAAGGTCCATTGCCTCGGAGTGATTGCTCATTCTTGGGGTAGAGGCTCTGAAATGGTCCCTCGTTTTGCTGTTTGGGATCAGTTTTTTATCTGACATATTCATGGTGATCTCAAAGAATATAGAGCTCCTTATTCCGGTTGGTTATTTCCTTGGCGTGAGTCGCGCAAATCTTTTGAAGGAATCGTTCCAAGAGCTCTTTCAAAGCAGAGTTAAGGTGTGGTGTTAATATATAGGTTTGATTGCAGATAGACCTCTGCCTATCACCCAATTGAAGATAGACCCCCTGTAGTTTTATTGTTGTGAATAGACCCCCTGTTCCATTGCCCAATTGCGGATAGACCCCCTGAGTGAAATTTTTTACCCTCGAGGTCTATTTGTCAAGAAAAACAATTTTCTCCTTCTCTTAGGGTAAAAGAGTCAACAATTTCACTCAAGGGGTCTACCTATGACAATAGAACTACAGGAGGCCTATTCGCAATTGGGAAATATAGTAGAGGGGGTCTATCTGCAATTAAGCCTATTATGTATTGCTATTAATCATTGTTTATGTTTACTCAAAAATTTTGCATGTTTTTGTTGGATTTGTAACAGGATGAAGGATTTCCTGGGCATCTTTTAGGCGTAGGATCATGTTTTGTGTATGTCAAGTTGGGTGTCTTTGTCCTTCAATGTGCAAGGAGGATAGCTTTATCGCTATAGGAAATGGTGTTGATTTAAGTTTTGTGGTTGGCACGAGAACTCTAGCAGACGAATGGTGTTGAGATGCAGGAAGAATAATGAGTAGAGCTCTGTAAGTGTTGTTAGATAATCCAATGGAATTTTTAGGATATTTATGGTTTTTGTAGGGTTCTGTTTTTGTAAAAGTATTTATGATACATAATCTTGGTATAAGTTAATCTTATTCTTTGTGATTACTGAGTAAGAGCGCCTTGCGTCTTCTTTTACTTGGTTGCGCATCTGTATGTCTGCGCCTCCAACACGAGCAGGTTCGGTATATTTTTCAATTTTTGTTGTGTCAGATGAACTGAAGAAAATGTCAGGCGGGAACTTCTTGTTCTTTGTTGTTTTATTAATTTTGGCGTTTGAAAGCTGCGAGCATAACATCTGATGATGATCTGAGTCTGTTTCCTCTTTTCTGCTACTCTGTGAAGAGTTGCATGAATACTAGCTTTCAATCTCCCCGCTTGGTACATAAATTTGATGAAACTTCGTTCTGGATAAAATCTAATCCATGGCAAGCTAAGATGCATGCGTATTTGCTCAATAGCTGATCGTAATTCGTAAATCTCACTGTAAGTTACTAGTGACTAGAATTATTAATTACTTAGGTAGGGCTTTTTTGGAAACTCCTATTTAAACTAGTTTAGTGGAAGAATACCAATTGATATCCTATACTAGCTAGGCAAGAAGCTAGACCAGGACTAAAATTGGTTGGTTTTTTTTTTTAATGAAAAAACTGGTTTGTTTTGGTTGCTCTTTTAATTTGTTCTTTGGGTAAAGCTCTTTCTACCGCACTAGCTAGTATATATATACTATTTTCTAGTATTTAATTACAATATATATGTATACAAATTAGATGTTATATATATGGTAATATTCTAATATGTTTTTTTTAATTTTCCATCTTAAAAAAATCTTAAAAAAAGAGTCATTGATTGAACAATTAATGGATGATCGGCAGAGTTAAAGTTATACTACCTGCCTATTTTTCTTGCCTAATCATGAAATGAGTCAAAAAAAAAAAAACATAAAAACATTTCTAGGCATCTAAAACAAATGTTATGTGTGATATGTGGGTGCTCAAAAAAAAAAAAAACATAAAAACATTTCTAGGCATCTAAAACAAATGTTATGTGTGATATGTGGGTGCTCAATCTAAGAACTAGTTTTATTATGTTTCTAGGCATCTAAAACAAATGTTATGTGTGATATGTGGGTGCTCAATCTAAGAACTAGTTTTATTATGTGTAGGACCTCTTTAAACAATTCACTAATTGCTTCATTTCCAAAGAAAGAAAATATTTATTGTTGTAGTACCAGAACGGCATTCTTTTAGAAAGGTAAATTACAAGTAACATTCCTCTTTCTCTTGAATTGAGAGGGTCCAAGTGCTAACAAATGAATCGAGGAGGATATAGTTAGGGGTGTCCAATTGGGCTTTTAGCTCGGACCTGGCCTGGGAAAAGCCCAGAAAATCCGAGCCGACTAGGCTCCGGGCCTGGGTCCAAGTTGTGTTGGTGTAGCCCGACCCAAATCCGGCCGTACCTGATTAATTAAGTATGAATATGATTATATATATACGTATATATAGTATATATGATTATATATATATATATAATATATATATATATATCAGTATATAATATATATATATAATAATAATATATATATATAATATATATATATATATATATATATATATTAATATATATATATATATATATATATATATATATATAGTAATAGAGAGAGAGAGAAGAAGAGAGAGAGAGAGAGCAGAGAGATAATATAGAAATCTTGTACCAAGTTCTTTCATGAACTTGGTGATGAGGTGGCCAAATCACCCCCCTACAATTCAACGCCTCGAAGATGGAACGCTAATTTTGTAAAAAGTAGGTGAGGCTACTCTCTCGAGGCGTGATGTAGGGTGGGGATTTGGCCACCTCACACCAAGTCAGATGGAGAAACTGGTAGCCAAGTTTCTCTCATATTTCTCATATATGTGTGTGTGTGTGTCTTTTTTTATATTGAATTATATTATAATATGGTCATTATGTTATATATATATATATATATATATATTATATATATATATTATATATTATAGTATAATATATATATATTTGCGTACCTTAAGATATCATAGCAGACTATATACACTGTAGAAATAGTATATATATATATATATATATCAATATATTAATATATATATATATCATATATATAAAATATTATATATATGTTTATATATATATATATAGAGAGAGAGAGAAGAGAGAGAGAGAGATAGAGAGAGAGAGAGAGAGAAGAGAGTAAGTGGGTATGCTCTTGTCATATGAGGGGATTTCCTACTTACGCTCTAAAATCACATGTTGTAACGACAAATTGTGGATGATCCGCATCCTTGACTTGATCTAGCATATTCTAAAACCCCAACACACTCAAGTTTTGGGTGAACCCGTCGTCGTTTGACACCCCAGATCGAACCATGTGAAAAAGTTCTAATTCATTCATAAAACGCGTTAAAATTGAGACGAGTGGATGAAGGGTCAACGACGACAGCGGTTTCATCCCAAACTTGGTGTGTTTGAGCTTTTAGAATATGTAGATCACAGTTCAACGGAGCGGATTCATCCACAATAGTCCGCCTCAATCATTGTGATTTTAGAAGGCGTCAAGGAGAAAATCCCCTCCTATGACAAGGGATACCCATTAATCTCATATATATATATATATATAATATATATATATATATAATATATATATATATATATATAATATATATATATATATAATATATATACTCTCTCTTCTTACGATGGGTTTAATATATGACTTAAGATTATAAGTATATACAATGTAGTTATAGGTATACTTATGTGTGTATATTATAGACTTATATAAGTATATTTTATATAAGTACATAAGTATAATTATATATTATATAAGTATATTGCATCTAGTATATATATAAGTATATCACATAAGTAAATTATATAATTACGTTTAAATAAATATAATATAAGTATGTAACAGATACAAACATAACTATATGTTACGTTTTTATAAGTAAGTAATATATACTTATGTGATTCCTTCTCTCTTAAGTTATAAGTATATACAATATACTTACATATGATATATTATTATGAAAAACTCCCTAGGATAAACTAATATCAATTGTAGGCGTCAAAATTTACATATGGGTTCCCGCACGCAGCTCAAGATGGAGAGAAGACAATGAACATCATTATCTGAGTCAAAGAGGATTATCTGACTTCGATAAGCAAATGAAGCGAGTCGACGAAACATACGAGTCAACGGGACGACAGATAGCAAAGAAACGATCCAATTGGGAATTACGTTTAACTCACGAAAGGTGAAGTGCCACTTGTGTCTCACCCGTTCCACATAGGATTCGCCCATGGAAGGTTGTAGATCTCTTCTTCGGTTTTCTGACGCATCTTGAATCGCGCCATTCCGAGATCGGACCGAGGAATTACGGCGAAAACAGTCAAAAGGGGAAAAACGACGTCTCGGCCAAAGCCAAGACACGTTTGTGTCTCGGCCAGGGCCGAGATAGTCTCGGCATGGCCCGGACTGTCCAGGCCTGGTTCGAACTGTCCCGGCTTGGCCAAGACAGTTCCGACCCCGAAAAAAGCTGTTCTACGCCCATTTTTTCACTGCTAACTGTCCGATTCTGATCCAGAGCCTCCCTAACTGATTTGAGGTTATCTATAAACGTGGTTAAGTGGTTACAACTGAGGATAAGAACAAATCATTCGTTCTTATCCGAAAATAAGGCTTCTGAAGCCTATAAATACAGTCCTAGGACCTTCATTTGTACAGATCCAGAATTCTCAAGCCTCGGCGACGTCCTGTTAAACTGAAGAGTAAGGAGAACAAATTTTAGAGAGGAGGAAGAGATCTCGGCGAGCTATTCAGCATAAATAGGAAGAGTTTGAGAGATCTGCATCAGTTCATCCATTTCCTTAAGATCGTACCTAGCTGCGATTCTCGAGAAGAGTGATTATCTCACTTCGCTGAGATAGTTACTTCAATTTCTTGTCTTCTTCACGAGGCAACGAAACCTTTATATTGGATTTGATCAGTCGGTGGTCCACGGATAAACCCCGGCACAGGCCAAGACGCCACGCAAGCAGCGGGTGATAAACGTCTGTTGTGTGTGTTTTTTGAGAAAGTTATAATTTTTATTTTTATTTGTTTAGATCATTGTAACGACTAAAGTTGTGATGAGTCAGTTAATGAAAGAACCAACTTTCCACTGAAACACGCTGGCGACTACAGTGAGAGCCAACAGTATTGTCGTCGAGGCTGTCATGCCGTAACTGAAGATCAAGATCCTGGTTGATTCAAAATCGAGTACGAGTTCGGCGAAGCCAAGTTCGAGGAATATTTCTCCTCGTTTTCATCAGAATCCTCCTCTCCCTGCAAGTACGGAAAGATCTCATCTTTGAAGGAGGTGTATTCGTCGAAAAAAGGCTACAAATGTCTCTGCTCGCCACAACTCTTCCCCAGTAAAGGAGTTGTTCAATCAAAGTACGCCAACTCTGACGAAGAGGGTTCATCAGAGGCAACGCTAATGCCAAGCTCGTCAAATTGCCAAAGCGTTGGAACAAGTCGATGGAGTTTTCTACTACACAGACTTGGAGTCTAGGAAGCATCAGGTAATTTAACCGCCTCAACGGCAAGTTGCTGCTACTTCCATTGATCCATCAACGGGAGAATGAGTTCTTATCAAAAGGACTCATTCAACCTCGATGGAGCGCATCCAAAAACAATGGTCACATGCTGTATGCAGGCGTGCCTTTGTACGAAAAGCTCAAGGCATGCAAAAGAAAGAGGTGGCCAAAAAACCACTGAAATCCAAACAAGTTTGGGTGCTGAAGGCCAAAATAGCACCGAAATCAACTCAGAAAGCCTCTGATCCCGCTCCTCTTGCTCCCGCACCTCCAGCGAAGCCTTGCGGCAGCATGGATCTATCGAAAGCCTCTGATCCCGCTCCTCTTGCTCCCGCACCTCCAGCGAAGCCTTGCGGCAGCATGGATCTATCCAAATTTAAGATTTCGATGAATGATCACCTGGGTACTCTACATGAAGATCGAGGAAAAGATCTGGTGAATAAAACTCGAGTAATTCCTCATGCTAAGAGTAATACAAACACTCCGGTCAAGCCAAAGG